GAGGCATCAAGCCTGGCTGGGCGGTGGAGCCAGGGATTGGGGGGATATGATGGTCCCCTTGCCCAGGCCTGAAGCCTGGGTCAGAGGCGTCAGGCTTGTGCGGGGGGGTGGAGCAAGTGATCAGAGGGAGATGGGGGTCCCCTGCCCAGGCATGATTCCTGGGCCAGAGGCCTCAGGCCTGGGCGGGGGCCAGAGCCAGTGATTGGGGGGAGATGGGGGTCCCCTGTCCAAGTCTGACACCTCTGGCGGAGGCATCAGGCCTGGGCAAGGGGCCGATCAGGCGATCGGAGGGTGATGGGGGTCTACGCCTCTGGCCGAGGCATCAGTCTTGGGCAAGGGGCAGAGCCAGCAATCGGAGGGGGCTGGGGGCAGAACCAGTAATGGGGGGAAATGAGGGTCCCCTGCCCAGGCCTGACGCCTGTGACAGAGGCGTCAGGCCTGGGCAAAGGGCCGATCCTGCGATTGGAGGGTGATGGGGGTCAACGCCTGAGGGCTCCCAGTATGTGAGAGGGGGCAGGCTGGGCTGAGGGACACTCCCCCGCAACCCCCACCCAGTGCACAAATTTCGTGCACCGGGCCCCTAGTTAGTATAAATAATTTGAGGAATCTTTTAGTGCTGGATCAAACAAATAGACGCATGTTTACTTTTGAGAGAATGAAAAAATTTTCAAGATATAGTGGAATAATTTGGCCTTCCTGCTATTTAGCTTCTCCTCAGAATAAATCTTTTGTTAGAATATTTGTGAAATCATATTGTAGAGTTAGCATCAAAATGTAGTGAAAGTAGATAAGCTTAACTGTTTCAATGAGTACTATCAAATATAGTTGTTTTACTTTAAAACACAGTATTGGTGATGTGAATACTCTCATACTTGATCAGAATAAAAAATGGTAAAAACTTTTATGGAGGGCAACCTGACAAGATTTCTTAAGACGTAACCTGCATATACCAGCAATTCCATTTCTAGAAATTTGTCCTACAGATTATACTTGGGCATATGCATAAAAAAAAGGTACAACTGTTTCTTATGTAGTTTTTAGACTAGCAAAACAAACATTTAAATACATATCCATTTAAATGTATATGCTTACTTAGAAGTTTCCTAACTTAGATTTTAAAGCATTAAAGGGATTAGTTTCAAAAATTATATATTTATTACTAATTGAAAAAAGTATAGTGTTCATAGTATTCTACCATTTACATGTGTTTTTATAGAACATACCCCCCCATGCATATATATGATTAGATGATATTTATAAGGATATATTGTATAAGGCTATATAATTGCTTCTGGGAGCAGAAATAGTGTGAGAGACTGACATTTTTCCAGCACCTTTTCAATTTGGAACAATATGAATGTTTTTTAATTTAATTAACAAAACCTAAATATTAAGACATGTACAATAACTAGATTTCTAAAATGTTTCATTTTATATTTTCTACTTTCAGCAAACTTCAAGGTTTTTGAGATTCTTGAATACCATCGAAGAAACAAAACTCAATTTTCTGCTTAATTTTATATTTCATGTAACTTGATATTAGGTTACAATAAAATTGTAGTAAACTTTAGAATGTTGTTTAAATTTATATTTTATGAGATTTTCAAATTGTTATAATAAACATGATGGTATACTTTACAGGTTTTATAGGAAAAATATTTTCTAATCTTTTAAGAAAAATATGAAAATATGTGTAAAGATGTAATCTAGTTATACATTTGCACTTAAAAACTGACCTTTTATTTCTATACTGGTTATATGCTAATGTTCATTTTAAGAAAAACAGATATTTAAACATTTTTGAATCATTATTTTAGTTTAACTTAGGTTTTTATCACCATAAGAGTTCTTAGAGTATATCTGACAATTTTGAAACTATTTAAATTTCAAGTCACAGAATTTATTCTAATGACTAGAGGCCCAGTGCACAAAAATTCATGCACTGGGGGTGGGGGGTGTCCCTCAGCCTGGCCTGCCCCCTCTCACAGTCCAGGAGCCCTCAGGGGATGTCCTCCTCTGTGGGAGGTGACCAGGTCGATCAGGGGAAGACACCATCCCATCACTCCACTGCTGCTGCCACTACCGGCTGCCGCAGCTGCTGGCCCTCAGCCCTCACTTCTTAGAGCTGGCCCCGTCCCCCACCCACTGGTGGGTGGGGGGCGATCTGGGGCCAGGCTGGCTGGGGGACGGGCTGTGGGAGGTTGAGGCACAGCAGGTTGCACCGCATCCAGCCTATGCGGAGGTGTGGCGCTGGGACCGGGCTCACTCCGCTGCCTCTGTGGCTGCCTCTGCAGCAGGGGCGGCACTGGGACTGGGACCGTGCAGCCCCCTCTTCCCACTGCCTCTCCCATGCCTCCTCTGCAGACTGGGCCACAGCACCGGCCTTCTTGCTCAGCGCCGGTCTTCTCCCTCCTCCCTTCTCCTGCATCACCACCTTCTCCCGCGGCCTCTGCAAAAGGGACCATGGTGCCGGACAGGCCCATACCACAGCCTCTCCCGTGTTGCCGGCCCTTGGCCCTTGTGGCTGCTGTGGCTTTGTCTGGAAGGACGTCCAGAAGGACATCTGGTCTAATTAGCATATTACCCTTTTATTAGTATGGATAGTTGAAAACCTTTGTTTCAGGATATTACTGTGATATTCATTGCATAATTATCTTTTGGCACTGGAAATTTAAAAACACAGTTCCTTTAATTTTTACATTTAGAGGACATGTTTACTTTGAAGCAGCATGTTTTGGCATATCAGCTGTAATCACTCAACACTATTCCCTTACTTTTAGTTTATGGTGTTACGACAATAGCCCAGAAATAAATCTGAATGACAGGAAGTTAGAGGACAACGAGTGTTTCGCATATAGAGTAACCTAAATATTATGAAAAGCCTGAAGATACTTTTCCTGGAAATGCGCTTTTTGGGGAAAAGATAGTGATAAAAAAAATGACATTAAAGGGAAAATTCCTCAAGAAAATTTAATGTGAATGTGATCAGTGAATCAGTAGTTAAGAATGAAGTGGTAATTTGAGATGTGGTTTGAGGATGGAAAAGTCAGGGAGAACGTCAGAAGAGGCCTGATATTAGAAAAATAAGATTTAACTTTCATTTCAAGTAGCCTAGAAAAATTGAAGTTAAAGTGAAATCAAGCCCTAGCCAGTTTGGCTCAGTGGCTAGAGCACCAGCCTGTGGACTGAAAGGTCCCGGGTTTGATTCTGGTCAAGGGCAAGTACCTTGGTTACAGGCTCTTCCCTGGCCTGGGCCCTGGTCAAGGAAAAATATCCTTGAGTGAGGGTTTTTTTAAAAAAGTGAAATCAAGGCATAAGTTCAAAAGTTACTAATTACTTGGAAAAAAATTATAATTTGGGCCTTGAAAGTGGTAGTGAAATAGACACAAGGTTGATGGTCTAGTTATGAGAACCACAGAGCTAAATATGAAAGATGATGGGTAAAAAGTTATAAGTGTAAACTGGGTACAAGGTGTCCCCTCATTAACTCATTCATTTGGCAGATAATTGCTTCCATATATAAAGGTGAGCTATTTGAGACTTTTTCAGGAACACAGTTAATGGTAGAAAGATAGGGTGTATTTAGGAGTTAGCAATGTGAAACGAGATGAAGCATGAAGCAAAACAATTATTTAAGAGCAGGGAAGTTGCCAGAACCAGGTAGTAAGTATCAGAATAAGATAAGACAGGAACTAGAACCAGGTGGGGATCAGCATCATCCAGAAATGAAAAGGAAGCAGTGGTCTGGATGATGGGGCAGTGGAGGAGCAGCTCTGACAGGGTCTCCTGGGCTCCTGCTGCAGGTACAAACAGAGGTGTGCTCCCTCACTTGGTGTTTAATCAGCTGAAGCGGGCTGATCTCACTGCAGAAATCGGTATGAGAGGCATTTTCATGTGATGTTGTGCCTCAGAGCAGGGGCCAGGTAGATCACACAAGACAGATATGGGTGAGAAAAGCAACACTAGATCTCTGTGTCGGGAAACCACAGAGTGCCTGGAACTGTACAGACGAGCTGCCAGTTGCTTGTCATTAGGTGTCAGACCATCTACTCTGGATCTCTATCCCCAATAGAGTTGACATGCAATATTTGTGGGGGGATAAAATAAAGTAGGTTGGACTAAGGGGTTAATAACTGATAATGGCTTTAATACCCAGTCCATCTCCCATGAAAGGCATTCGTATTTTAATAAGGATAGCCTTTCCTTAAGGGATGAATTTTAGGCAAAAGATCATTTGTTTGGGGCAGTGGTCGGCAAACTGCGGCTCGTGAGCCACATGTGGCTCTTTGGCCCCTTGAGTGTGGCTCTTCCACAAAATACCAACTTCTGCTAATGGGCCACGAATTTCAATCGCACTGTACGTGCGCACCTGCATGTGGTATTTTGTGAAAGAGCCGCATGTGGCTTGAGAGCCACAGTTTGCTTACCACGGGTTTGGGGCATAGGAGCTTCTCAACTCCACATTTTTTCCCAAAGAGCTGCTGGGAAAGGGACTGCCACATAGTAAGAAATTTGGGAAGGTGGAGGGCATGGATCCTTAGAAAATCTAATGAAAACTAAGGTCCTTCAGAAAAATCAGCATGAGCCTACCCCCACTTATAATTTCACATATAATTTCAGAGGGCTCAAGAACTCTGAAGGCCATTCTCATTCCCAAACAGGTGTGGTCTGTTGTCAAGTGTTCATGTTTGGAAATATCATTAAGATGAAACGTGTCCAGTATTTTGAAGTTAACAAAGGTACCAAAATAAACTGAAACCAATCATTGGGTATGTTCACTGACATCAAGGTTATAACAGAAAATACATCCTCCAGCCCTAGCTGGTTTGGCTCAGTGGATAGAGCATCGGCCTGAAGACTAAAGGGTTCCAGATTCAATTCAGGTCAAGGGCACATGTCCAGGTTGCAGACTCGATCCCTAGTAGGGGGCGTGCAGGAGGCAGCCAATCAATGATTCTTTCTCATCAATGATGTTTCTCTTTCTTCCTCTCCATTCCTCTCTGAAATCAATAAAAATACATTTTTTTTTAAAAAAGACAATACATCCTCCATATGGTTTAAAGACCTAGAATTCATCTTTATGCCTCAAAACCATTTCAGATGTAAATCTAAGAACTAAATTGTAGGGTATTTTTAAAAAATCCATTTTTATTGACTTCAGAGAGGAAGGGAGAGGGAGAGAGACACATCAATGATGTATCATTGATCAGCTGCTTCTGCCCCACACGGTGGATTGAGCCCAAAGCCCCCGGCATGTACCCTGACAGGGAATTGAACCGCAACCTCCTGGTTCATAGGTTGATGCTCAACCACTGAGTCATGCCGGCTGGGCTTTATTTATTTATTTATTAAAAATATATAGTTTTATCGTTTTACTGATTTCAGAGAGGAGGAAAGAGGGAGAGAGAAACATCCATGATGAGAATCATTGATCAGCTGCCTCCTGCATGCCCCCTACTGGGGATCGAGCCTGCAACCCGGGCATGTGCCCTTGACCAGAATTGAACCCAGGACCCTTCAGTCTTCAGGCCAACACTCTACCCACTGAGCCAAACCAGCTAGGGCTGGGCTTCAAACATTTTATTAAACAAGTTCATAATAGAAAAATTAGGAAATACAGATAATCATAAAGAAAAAAGTTCTAAAGACCTTCATTTCCACCATCAGAGATAATCTGTTAATATTCTGGTATAGATCCTTTCAGATTTTCTCTATGCATACATTTTTTCCTCTAAACATATTTTATGGATGCCCGTCTGGTGTAGCTCAGTGGCTGAGTGTCAACCTCTGAACCAGGGGGTCACAGTTCAATTCCTGTTCAAGGCACATGCACAGGTTTCCAGCTCGATCCCCAGTGCGCGGCTTGCGGGAAACAGCCAATCAGTGATTCTCTCCCATCATTGATGTTTCGATTTCTCCCTTCCTCTCTGAAATATGTATTTTAAAAATATGTACTTTAGGGATCATACTATACACACTAAATTTGCCTTTTTTCTTGTTGTCAATCCTCACCCCAGGATATTTTTTCAATTGCTTTTCAGAGAGAGTGGGAAGGAGAAGGGAGAGAAACATCGATGTGAGAGACACATTGATTGGTTGCCTTGCCCACGTACTCTGACTGGGGATGGAAACATGCAACTCAGGTACATCCCCTTGACTGAGAATAGAACCTGTGACCTTCGGTGAGTGGGCCAATACTATAACCACTGAGAAACACCAACCAGAGCTAAACTTGCCTTTTTCTTTACTATATTCATTCATCAAGTACCTGAGTGATAATACAGGGGTGGGCAAAAGTAGGTTTACAGTTGTTCATATGGAAAAAGATATGCAGGTTATGATTATTACAGTAGCTTTACTAAAAAGAATATCACAATGGCACAGTGCACTTAGGTATAATCTTGCATGTGCTCAAATTGCTGACCTTCATTATGTACATATTCTTGAGTCTACTTGCTATACTCAAACATACTTTGGCACAGAGTTCTTTAAGGCTACTATGTGAAGAGATTGTAAAGAAGAGGTGAAGAGACCAGTCAGGAAACTATGGCATAAGTCTGCAATAGAGATG